AGAAACAAGTCCAGGAAATGATAGGATCTGCAATAATCCAGTATACAAAGGTTCATACCAGAAAATGAGTTCAAAAAACAATTGAAAATGAATTAGAAATTGGATAAAAATGTTACTTACATGTGTTTAAATGAAAAGATAATTTTAGGTTACATAATTTTAACTAAATTATTGAAAAGCAACATTTGTTTCTTTCCGAGCACCGAAGACATTATTAAACGACCCTTGTATAAGGTGACCTACCGATGTACAATATTAGGTGTCCTCTGGTCCCCCTACTGATGTACAATATGAGATGACCTCTAGTCCCCCTACTGATATACAATATACGGTGACCTTTGGTCCCCCTACTGATGTGCAATATAAAGTGGCCTCTGATCCCGTTTCTGATGTACAATACAAGGTGACCTCTAGTCCCCCTTCTGGTGTTAAATATAAGGTGACCTCTGGTCCCTCTTTTAATGTACAATATAAAGTGGCCTCTGGTCCCTCTACTGATGTACAATATAAGGTGACCTCTGGTCCCCCTTCTGATTTTAAATATAAGGTGACCCCTGGTCCCCCTGCTGATATACAATATAAAGTGGCCTCTGGTCCCTCTACTGATGTACAATATAAGGTGACCTCCGGTCCCCCTACCGATGCACAATATAAGGTGACCTCTGGTCCCCCTTCTGATGTACAATATAAGGTGACCCTTGGTCCCCCTGCTGTTGAACAATATAAGGTGACCTCTGGTCATCCTACTGATGTTAAATATAAGGTGACCTCTGGTCCCCCTACTTATGTACAATATAAGCTGACCTCTGGTCCTTCTGCTGATGAACAATATAAGATGACCTGTGGTCCTACTACTGATGCACAATACAAGGTGTCCTCTGGTCCCCTTATTGATGTTCAATATAAGGTGACCTCTGGTCCCTCTCCTGATGTACAGTACAATATAAGGTGACCACTAGTCTCCGTACTCATGAAAAATATCGGGTGACCTCTGGTCCCCGTACTGATGTACAATATAAGGTGTCCTCTGGTCACCCTACTGATGTACAATATAAGGTGACCCCTGGTACAACTGCTGATGATCAATAAAAAGTGACCTCTCATCCCCTTACTGAAGTACAATATAAGGTGTCCTCTAGTCCCCTTTCTCGTGTTAAATATAAGGTGTCCTCTGGTCCCGCTACAGATGCACAGTACAATATTAGGTGACCACTAGTCCCCGTACAATATAAAGTGACCTCTGGTCATCTTTCTGATGTTAAATATAATTTGGTCCCCCTACTGATGTACAATATAAGGTGACCCAAGGTACCCCTGCTGATGTACATATGTAACCTCTGGTCATCCTTTTGATGTTTAATATAAGGTGACCTCTGTTCCCCCCTACTTATGTACAATATAAAGTGACCTCTGGTCCCCCTACTGATGTTCAATATAAGGTGAACTCTGTTCCTCCTACTGATGTACAATATAAGGTGTCCTCTGGTCCCCTACAGATGTATAGTATAAGGTGTCCTCTGGTCCCCTTATTGGTGTACAATATAAGGTGACCTCTGGCCCCTCTACTGATGTACAGTATTAGGTGACCACTAGTCCCCGTATTATTGTAAAATATCTGGTGACCTCTGGTCCCCATACTGATGTACAAAATAAGGTGTCCTCTGGTCCCCCTACTGATGTACAATAAAAGGTGACCCCTTTTCCCCTTCTGATGTACAATATAAGGTGCCCTCTGGTCCCCCTACAGATGTATAGCTGATATACAAGAGTGGACCTCAGATCATTCTGCTAATGTACAATATAAGATGACCTCTGGTTCTACTACTAATGTAAAATATAAGGTGTCCTCTGGTCCCGCTACAGATGTACAGTACAATATTAGTTGACCACTAGTCCCCGTACAATATAAAGTGACCTCTGGTCCTTCTGCTGATGTACAATATACGATGAATTCTGGTCCTACTACTGATGTACAATATAACGTGTCTTCTGGTCCCCTTATTGATGTTCAATATAAGGTGATCTCTGGTCTCTCTACTGATGTACAGTACAATATCGGGTGACCTCTGGTCCCGTACTAATGTTAATTATCGGGTAACCTCTGGACCCCGTACTGATGTACAATATAAGGTGTCATCTCGTACCCCTACTGATGTACAATATAAGGTGACCTCTGCCCCCCCCTACTTATGTACAATATAAGGTGTCCTCTGGTCCCCCTACAGATGTATAGTATAAGGTGCCCCCCCCCCCCCCACTGATGCACAATATAAGGTGCCCCCTGGTCTCTCTACTGATGTACAATGTAAGGTGTCCTCTGGTCCCTCTACTGATGTACAGTTACTGTACAATATAAGGTGACCTCTTGTCCCCCTACTGATGTACAATGTATTGTGACCTCTGGTCCCCCAAATGATGTACGATATAAGGTATCCCCAGGTCCCCCTATTATGTGCAATAAAAGATTACCTTTGGACCCCTATTGATTTAAAATGTAAGGTGACCTATGATCCCTCCGATGATGTACAATATAAGGTAACCACTGGTCTCCCTAATGATATTAAATATAAGGTGGCCTCTGGTCCCCCTACTGATGTACAATGTAAGGTGATCTTTGGTCCCCCTATTGATGTAAAATATGAGGTTACCTCTGGTCACCCTTTATTACTTTCACGTTTCTGCTAATATATATATTTGAAAGTTGATCTTTATAAAGTTATAGATATGATTATTTTGGAGTAAGACACAGAAAATTGTCTATCATATAAAATTCAATTAATATATAAGGTGACCTGAGGTCTCCGTATTGATATCGATGAATTTACTTTTGTGCCTTTAATGCCTGGAGAGTTCCTATAATGTTTTATTACTACGCAAAATGAAGAACTATTTGCGGGGGACCCCAGGTCCTAGTTCAGCGTACGTTTTATCCTTCTGCCTTGGAAATATGGCGGGAAGAGAAAACAATTGTGAAAATGCAGATACTTTTTACCAAATCGACATGTTCTTTATTTGTTTGCATATTTTGAGCAAATCTCTATTCAAATATTTAAAAAATGTTTTTATTCTCTGAAAAATAAAATTTTTCATGAGGTCCATGGGTTTTTTTTAAATTGAATTTCGAATTATTCTACTAAAACATAATGTAAAAAGTGATAAAACTCAATTAATTGATTATCATTAAGCGTAATTATTCATTTTTAAAAAATGTTTTCGCCGGTTTACTTCATTTGCCTCTTAGCCGTTTTACGCCGGTCATATGACCGGCGCAATTCGGCGTACGCCGATCAGTGACAAATGAAACTGGCCCTATGTTATGATGGGGAAATAACGGAAAAATCCGTCGACAATTCAGTGTGTATATAATAAGCTAACAATAAGTATGAAAAACGTCAGTCAGCATTTGACTTAATGATTTGCTGACATGGTCATTGTTTCTGCCAAAGAACTTACAAAATAATGACTTTAAAGGAGACTGCTTATATTTTTGTTTCAGAATCTTGTTTGTCAATAACTAACCTCGTACCACACTTTCCACAGAAATCGGGGTACATTAATTGTCATTATCCTTTTTCATCCGACCGTCTGTCACATTATCTTCTTCCTCTTCTTCAAACTCCTATTTTATAAAAGCACACTATCCACACCATTTTTTGGAATATGATTGGTGGTGTCCAGTAGATGATCAGCGAGGTTTCGGAATTTTCATTTTCTTCATGGAATCAAAATAGGGGTTAGAAAACGATTTCTCGGAACTTCTGGTACATTTTAAGCAATAACCAATTAATCTATTGGAACTTGGCATACTACTATTATTCTAAAACTGAAATTCTGGGGTTATGTAAATACTAGTAATTAAATGATTTATTTTCTCCAATACTCAAAATTGCGAAAATGAAATTAATTCCAAAACCTTATTACCATATTGCAAATCTACAGGACACTACAAATTATATTTAAAAAGATGACATGTAAAATGAGTTCTTGAAACCCCATACTAGTATTGTCCCAGGATGAAAATGAATACTTCTAAACATTATACTGCACATTTACGAGACACCAGATCAATCATACCTCAAAAGATGATTTGCCTACTGTGTTATAATATATCAGAAATTTGAGAAAATAAGATAATGTGACAGAAAGACAGTCCAAAGAAACAATAAATCAGAACTATAATTTTTTTTAAAGTGTGGGTCTATAATTGATGTTAAATATGGTCTTCGATTACAGGTAATCCCTAAAAAGAATTCAGTTTTTGACATGTTTCAATGGTGCACCATCCCTTCGACCTTTATACCTATACTGAATAAACTGGAAGTGCTGTGATCATGGCATGGCTCAAAAGCCCACTCCCAACCCACCCCATGAGAAAATAATGTGTAAGGGAAGCATGACTTACGTCGAACTGCCGGATGGACACGCCCAAATGTATAGTATATAACACCACTTTAACTGAGTTTCTGGCATTAAAGTGAAAATAGATCGTTAATTTATCAATTTAAAATGAAGGTTAGAAAAATGGAGACAATTACTGAGTTATTAATTTCAACAAATGGTTAGTAAATCGAAGCTGCACTTCAAATATATTTTAAAATAAACCTAGACAGAAAAAATAGGCGAAGCTCACATTGCTCTCTCGTCATACCAGTATTGGATTTCTCGTGTCTCATGCTGTAACGATTTTGTGTACACATCCCAGTTCAAATAAATATCTTGAAAATTGTCTAGATATTAGCCGGGATTATCACCCCAATGTTTGATTATTCCACGAGGGAATGTTAGTAAATATGAACTTGTAGATCTAATTACAATACCTTCATTCATCTAGGAACAGGAAAAAAATTGGTCTGGCGTAAATTTTGGCTTTATGAAGGCCAGAAGAAAATGAAGGTGGGGGAATAATCGTGTAAATTAGTTACCCCAATAGGTGTGTCCATTTAAATATATAATATACATATACAGGAACATTAAAAAGGTGAATATTTACTAAACAGACATGGGCCTGACAGTATATTGGATGTGTTTAATTGTGCTTTCACTAGGTTAGTGCACTTTTCAATTGTGACTTGTTTTTTCGGGAGAGAGAAGGGCATAAATTAATTGTTCTAAGAAAAATTATGAATGTACATTTTTGAATTTTTTGCAATAATCAGAAAAAGTGTAATTCATAAAGAAAAAAAAATGTTTATTTCATAATCTAATATATGTCTGTAAACTTATTCATATGTACATGTGAAACATATGGAGATAACGAACAATACTGAAGATCAGAAGTCCATTTAACAATACAAAATCAGAGCAGATCAAACACGGACCTCCAAAACATCAGAGGTGGGATCACAGGCCATGGAGGAGCAAGCATTCCCTGTCACCGGTCACACCCGCCGTATGCTCCTTGTCATGATCGGGAAATAACGGGAAAAATCCGTCGCCAATTCTGTGTATTAATATTCAAATGGATTAACAATTAATATGAAAAACGTCAGTCAGCATTTGACTCAACGATAAATTGAATTTGCTGACAAGGTCATTGTATCGACTATACAACTTTTAAAATGATGACTTTAAATGAGTCTGCTGGAATTCTTGTTTCATAAACGTGTTCATCAATGATTTACCTCAATTTAGAAATTGTTCATACGTAGAGCATGCTCTTGCGTACCGAATATGTGTATAAGCTCGGTTTGCTTAAATTATTTTATTAACATAGCTAGGAATGAAAACTATCAAATGAAATAAATTGTGATAACGAACAGTCTTCAAGCTAAGAGTCCATTAAACAATATAAGTTTTGGAGCAGATCAAACGCAGATCTCTAAAACATCAGAAGTGGGATCAGGTATCATGGAGGATGGAGCATCCCCTGCCGATCAGTCACACCCTATCAGGACAAAGAGCACACGACAAGTGCATGTGACTGGTCGGCAGGGTATACTAACTCCTTCAGGGCACCCGATTTCACGTTTGATGTTTTAGAGGTCTCTGTTTGCTCTACTCCAAAATGTGTATTGTTTAATGGTTATTTGAGCTTGATCTGTTTGCTATCTCCATGTGTTTCATTAATCTTTGTTCACTTATCACTTTACAACCGCATCAAACAGACTGAAATATATGCACCAGATTCCTCATTATTTTAATACAAATCTCGGTTAAAATTTCACAAAACTGGATATTATCACACTTTCTGAATCCCTATACCTATACACGAATATCTGATTTCATGGACATAAATGCAATAACAAGTAACACGAATTATTTTCAGTACGAATATAGTAAACTGAGCTCGTAGATAGATTAACCAATAAGTTAAGACAGAAACTTGCATTTTATGATAAAAAAAAATTACTTAGATTAGTCACTCAAAATAATGTTATAAATTAACTCGTTTACTGAATTTTCCAGTTATCAAGAAAAGAGACAAAATACTTCCAAATCAGCAAACAAAGCATCACTGTAATAAACCATATAATTTAATTGCAAATTATTTTATCAAAATTGATTAATTGGCAGAAGTGATAACCCAAAAAGTGATAACCCAAAAACATTTTATATTAAATCAAACCATTGAAGTACTCATTTACCTAATAATTTTTTAAAGATAAAATAGAAATAATCTCAGCCATTTATTGGTTTCCAATTATTCTCCAGGCGTAATTACATTTAACGTTTAATTATATATAGCTCGAAAATGTACTTGCTTGAACCAGTAATGATACTTGAGAGATACTTGAGAAAAAAACTTGGGTACATGCCTGACTTTCTAAGATTTCTTCATAACATGCTACTAAAACTGAAGGGGGAACTCTTTCAACCATTTCAATACTAGAATATAAATAAGTGTTTTGCTCGGCCTTCAATTCAACATTAAGTATACTAGTAATTCGACGACGTTTTATCAATTGAAAATATTAATTTTCACCAGTAAATTGATTCGATATACCGGGGAATCCTTTTTGATTTAACTACACTGTAAAAAATAATAACTAGTTAATGTCACGAAGAAAACTAGCAGATTCGCTGTCCATACAATCACTACCTTCATAGTAGTTTTACCAGATATTGGTATATTTACTAGATAGATTAGTAAATTTAGAATTGATGAGTAACTTTCACTAGGTATCTAAGTATCTATACGACCCCCGCTCCACAACTCACTATCTTAACCAGTAAACTGAAAGTTTACTAATCACGACCAACGCTTTACGAAACACACTAGTTAAATTCACTAGGTTTTTCTTTCAGTGTATAGAAGAGACGACAGAGTATCACATATCTGTTTCATATTTATTTTCCTAGAAAAATAGGTAAATTGGTAATCTAAAAATCAAACTTTATTATAAACACAATTTCCGTCGCCAACTTCCCATATTTATGTAATAATTTGTCATGATTATTTGCATTTAGGGTTCAAGTTGGTTCGATACGCAAGAGCATGCTCTGCGAATTAACAATTTCTTAAACGATGCAAGCGCTATTGCAAATAAGTTGTTTTTTTAAGCCAACGTTTCGCAAACTCTATCGTCGATTTAATGACCGTATCAGCAAATATGATGCGACGTCAAGGAACGAAAATGTTGACTGAAGTTTTTCATACAAATTTTCACATTGCGTTGTCTACGGATTGTTCTGTTTTCCCGATCAAGAGATCAAGACAAGGAACACACTGCGGGTGTGACCGGTTGATAGGGGATGCCTTCTCTTCTATGGTACCTGAACTTAAATCAACTTATGTTTTTATAGGTCCGTGTTAAAAACTCTGTTTTGTATTGTTTTAATAGACTTTTTTTTTGTTTGATTACTGTTTGTTATCTTCGAATTTCCAACCACGGAAAATACTTTTTAAAGATATATGTTGGCGTGCTTATAAATTAAAACTTTTTATTATTTTTTTTTACAAATGAGGGGTATTTCAACAGGATTACACAAACGAATATATTTCCAGGAATCTGGTTTGTTTTTCATTGAAGTAAAGTTTTTAAAGAATGTATGCATATCGACGTAAAATTGTTGAAACTGTACTAAAACTTTAAAGAATAACATTTTAGAAAACCTTACCGTAACACCATTGATATATTTATTTTACTATTCTTGCAATGCCATGCGCAAAAAGTGAAACAAAATTAAATATCTTCATCTTGTAGAAAAAATTACAGACAATGGATGAAAAATTCAGAATTGATTTTAAAGATCATTTCACGTTTTGGACATCAGAGAAACGCCAAGAAAAATATAAAAAAAAATATAAAACGAATGCGTGTAGTACAAATTAAGTATCTTTGTGTTTTTTACATGTCGCAGTTTTGCAAGCAAAGTAAAAGTGTAAGAGGGTTAAAAAAATTGATGGAATGACTTTTTATAGTGACATAGGCAACAATGTTCGCTAAAATCAAAACTGGTATACAAAATCCTAAATTTTACTCATGTATTAGGATACCTGTATACTACAATTCAAAACAAAATGAAAGGAAACAACGGTAAACAGATTTCATTAAGGTTATTGAAACTGGATGAAAACATAGAGCCAGCTAAAAACGGACAAATGATGTATTTTTAACGATTTATTCAGACACAAACTAGCTCTTCTTATCATTCTCCAGCACACCTCAAAAGGCTGAAATTGTTAAAAGCCTTTAATACTGTTGATGTTATCTTTATATTTGTATTACAGATCCCACATTGGAAACACTTGTCAGTGAGTTCTCATCGAACACTACTGTGTTACTCGGAAACGATGCCACACTTTTATGTACCATTAAGTATCAAACGGAGGGGAGTATTGTTTTGTGGAAAAAGGTAAATGTATATGTATTAAAACAATTGTTGTCATACTTATTGTTAGTCCAATATTTACACACCGAATTGATGACATATTTTCCGTTACTTCCCGATCATGACAAGGAGCACACTGCGGGTATAACCGGTCGGAAGGGATGTTCACTTCTCCATGGCACCTGATCCCATGCACCTCTGATGTTTTGTAGGTCCGTGTTTGCTCTGCTCCTATTTTGTATTGTTTTACGGACTTCGGACTTCTGAGCTTGAATACTGTTAGTTATCTCCCTATGTTTCATTTAGTGTGATTTCATTTAGATAGGATTTTTAGATGTCAACAAGCAACTAATCAATATCAATTTAAAAGAATACATTTTATTTTCTTTGAATTTTGTTTTAAGTACGTGTTTTGAGAACAAAAATTATACATGTGTGCTTCATAACATTGGGTAACACATTGATCCTGAACATTTTTTCATGAATTTGACTTCAGTTTGTTGTTTTAATCAGATTGACTCGGGATCGAATATACTGACATTAAACAACAAAACGACTCACAAGGAGAAATACGAAGTGGTGGATCAATATAATTTAATGATCAAAAGAGTTGGGTTCCAGGACGAGGGACTTTATGAGTGTGATACAGGAGAACAACGTCTGACAGTGGCCTTACAGATAGCAGGTGCGCGAAATAGATAGCAATATTATTTTTATCATTTATTCCAAGCTCTCTGATTGGCTCAAATTTGATCACATGATTTAGTATATAACAGCATAAAGACTTGAATTACTATTTTTAGAATCTGAAATGCATATCGACTTAATGTTTCTTAAAATGGAGATAATTTTTTTTTTTGGTAAAACAAAAAAATAGTACTTATCAACTCATCAAGTATGACTTGATGTATCTGGAAAAAAAAATATTTACTACAACTTCTATTATTATTTTTTCATGTTCCTTAATTGATGAGACGTAACAATGCCTTGAAGCCTTGAATTAGGATCTACTTTATATCAAAACATATTGGATAACTTTGTCAAAAATTTATACAAAACGTAATCAAATAAATTAAGTATTTTGAATAAGCAAATCCTCTAAATTACTCCATCAATATAAAGGAAACACATGAACATTAAATAGCTTATTTTATTTTGATCTCTAGTCTCTAAGCGTTAAAGAGAAAAGACTCGTGCCTTGTTCCCATTATTTTCATATTTTGTTTTGTCAATCTATGTAAAAAATAATATAACAAATGTAGCCCTTTAATTCGGTCAATCCATAGATATATCGACTTCACAGAAAAGAATATCGACCTCGCACTTCGTGCTTGGTCGATATGCTTTTTCTGTGAAGTCGATATATCTATGGATCGACCTCATCAAAGGGCTATATTTATATAATATCGAATATTTTTATATTACTGCTTAAATTTCATTAACGTTCTAAAAACTCCGTATCCCAAAAGGATGAAATAATATTACTTACGGTAACAGATAATTGAATAAAGTTAACGTTTATTGCCATAGTTATTTGGTATATTACATCATGTGGGAAAAAAGGAATGACAGCTTATCAAAATTGTGAATACTTAGAAACTCTGTAGACAACAATATTACAGACAATGAAATTTAAAACATTTTCAGTGTGAATACTGTTAAACAATTTACACAAATAATAGTGCACATATACCCCTTGTAACAGAAAATCACCCAACTACTTTGTCTTCTTAAAAATCTTTTAACCAATCGTTATTTCTGCATTTTTCAAAGCTTTCGGTTTTTTGCTAAAATTCTTGATATTGATTTGTTTCAAATTAGATTTAATAAAGTATAAAGAGAACAAAATTCGTTTTGAATGGATTATGAAAGTAGACACAAGTCCCATACATTTATACTTTTTTATTCACATAATTAGAAAATTGAGTCTTGTAAACTTTATTAGAGACTTAGGATTTGCAATAACGACGATTACAAATGGGTCTACATGCATCTTCTGGCACCATCAAAACTCTAGTAATCCTCCAAAAAGACGCATGGCGTTACCAAACAGATCTTATGTAAGACCATGTAAGGCAGATCTTATGTAAGACATCTAACGATATGTTCTTGCAACAGAATCGAACGTCTTAAACCTTAATATCCATACTTTGAAAAATTGCACGAATTGTCCTTTGTATGAAAATCACGGTCTATCTTTAAACGGTTGAATACAATTAATATAATGAACATTAATGTTAGTTAAATTTAGGCAATAAGGGTTCTACATATATATGTGGATGAGAATTTCCACGTTTTCTTGTCTGCTGACCCTGGTCCTTGTAATAAAATGTTAAGAAAACGAACAATTACCATGCTTCTTCACCAAAGATTCTGATAGACGCCATCTTAATTAGAAAAAATTCCTACGAAAATGAAATTTAAACTTCCTGGATAAATAGTATGGAACAATTTTTTTTTTTTTTTTGCAGTTCCAATGACAAACATGTCCGTTCACTGGGACGTACCTGTGCCTTTCCAGCGGAACGCATTCGTCAATTTGACGTGTGTTTCTATAAATAGCCGCCCTCCCGCGACGTTACGCTGGTTCCGTGGAGCCCACGAAGTCTCCCACGCGTCAGTGAACAATGACAAAACGACGCGGCAAAATGGTAATGTTTATACATTTGCTATTCATATCATTTGTCATTATCTTCTAATGAAAGTGGAAGTTACCAATGTGTCTCAAGTTATGTCTGTCAAAATGCCATTATTGTTTGTTTTCTTCTTTTTTTTATGAAAGAGACATTTTATTCAGTTATCTAAATGGAGTGTAGTAATTCGGTAGATTGTCTTTCTGCAGGTTATGGGGACTCTTCCAGCACTTTAGTCGGTCAGGTTTCCTCCGAGGACGTACCTTATGTTTGTATCGCAGACCTACCAGATAACC